GTCTGGCATGATCATCCTCAAAAGTAGAATACACCAGAATATCGTTGATAAAGACGATCACAAACTGATCCAGACACTCCTTGAACACTCTGTTCATCAGATCCATGAAAATAGTATGTGCATTGGTTACCCCAAAAGGTATAACCAAGAACTCGTAGTGTCCGTACCGAGTACTGAAAGCTGTCTTCACCACATTAGCTTCCTTCACCTTCACCTGATAATACCCAGATCTCATATCAATCTTCAAAAACACAGAAGAATTAGAAAGCTGGTCAAACAAGAAGTCAATCCGAGGTAAGGGATACTTGTTCTTGACCGTGACTTTATTCAAATCTCTATAGTCAACACACATACGGAGTGTTCCGTCCTTCTTCTTCAAAAACAAAACAGGTGCTCCCGAAGGAGAAATACTAGGACGAACAAATCCTCTATCCACCAACTCCTGAAGCTGAACTTTCAACTCAGAAAGTTCTTTCGGTGCCATCCTGTACGGAGCTTTTGATATCGGAGCTGTACCCAGAAAAACATCAATAGAAAACTCCACATTTCTATCTAGAGGTAAACCAACCAACTCTTCAGGAAATACATCTGCAAACTCCCGTACCACTGGGATATCAGAAACAGAACCAACATCCAGGTTCATATCCCGTATAGAAGCCAAAAAGACTGGACAACCCTTCTTCCACATTCTTCTCACTTCCAATCCAGAAATCAGACAAGAGAGAACACCTCGTAAACCTTGGAATACACATCTCTCTCCTGACATAAGCAAGCTCACTTGCTTCTTCAAATAGTCAATCTGGGCCTCATATAGACTCAGCCAATCCATGCCCAAAATTACGTCATACGAAAAAATCGGCAACAGAATCAAACTCGATTTCCACTTCTTGCCAGCAATATCAATCTCACAAAAATAAAACTTCCGAGCAACCAAATTACTTCCAGCCGGTAAAATCAAAGAAAGAGAAACCAGAAGTAAAACTAAATCCAGATGCAAAGCATCAAAACAACTCTCGGAAAGAAATGAGTGATTGGCTCCGGAATCAAACAAAACACGACAAAGCTGATCAGAAATATAAATCGTACCTGTCACCACATCCGGAGCATCTCAAGCCTCCTGCTGACTCAGACTGTACACTCGTGGCTGAACTGGAGCTGGAGCTGAAGCAACAGAACTACTCGGTTCCCTCTGACTAGCAGTAGGTGGTCTCCGTGGTACAGAACTCGAACCACAACCTCTACTAGAAAATCCCTCAGTCGCAGGGCGTGGAGGAACAGTCCTCGGTCTTCCTGCTGAACCGGCAGGTCTAACAAAGCTCTCGGATCGGAAATCAGATCGTCGATCAAATCCAGCCTGTGGACACTCTACAATCAGATGTCCTGGCTGACCACATCTGAAGCACTGACCAGTCATCATGTAGCACTGGCCAAAATGCCGTCATCCACAACTCTGGCACACAGGTGCCCCACTAACAGATCCAGAACTGGTCGTACTGGGCGTAGCAGTACCAGCAAATCCTGACTGTCCACTCCTCTTAGAGTCTCTAGAACTAGAAACAAACCTCCTCTTGCTAGAGGAACTACTACTCGAATCACCTCCAAATCTCTTCCTACTTGCAGCCCACCGCTGCTGAGTAGCCATCAGATCATTCTCTATCAGATGAGCTCTCTCCACAAGCTCAGAGAAATCAGAAATATGAAATGGTACCAGGGGCTGCCTCAGACTATCTCGGAGTCCCCTCAGAAATCGGTAGCACTTCTCAGCAGAAGTACTAACCAGCTGCGGAGCATATCGGGCTAAGGCAGTAAACTCTACCTCGTACTGCATCACCGTCTTGCTCCCCTGAACTAGCCTCAGAAAACTCTCTTGCATCTGCTGCACGACAGATGGGGGAACAAACCAAGCTCGGAATACCTCAGCAAATTCTTCCCAAGTAATCAGGGAGTTCAATCTACCCTGAAACTTTGCTTCCTACTGGCCTACCCACCAGTGCTCAGCTTCCCCATCCAACAGAAATACTGCCAAAGGTACCTTCCTATCTGACGGACACTGCATGCCGTCAAAGGTCTTCTCTAACCTTCTCAGCCACTCCTCAGCTGCTCTGGGCTCAACAGCGCCCTCAAACCTCGGAGGTTTCAATCTCAGAAACATCTAAAGATGTCTATCAATATCCTCAGATCGAACAGTAGAAGCTCTACTGTGAGTCTCGCTCATCATCTGAGCAACCAATGTAGCAAACTGGGAAAGTGTATCTGCACCAACCACTGGGGCTATACTACCCACTGGTGCTGCCTGACTAGCACTCTGACCATCTGTCATATCGGGGTCTGGCAGATCCATACAGAAAATCCAGAAAATCCAGAAAACTAATCACAAAAATAACATAATAAAAATTTAGACAAACCAAAACTATCCCAGACAAACTCAGATCACTTCCTATAGCTCTGTCCTACAATCCAAATTCAAAATTCCAAAACCATTGCTCTGATACCACTAAAAAGGCTTGTCACGACCCAACCCGACCGGGACGAATCCCGCTCGCATCGGGTCGTGGGCCAGACTGAAACTGACTGAACTGATTCTAGGATCTGGCTTTGGAATTTGTTTCAGAACTTTCTTCCAAACATACAGACAGAAATAGACACACATAGAGCTACTATAAACATCAAATGCAGTGTAATATATCATCCATCTTTTTCTTCCTCAAAAGAATCATATACAAATACAGCTCATGGCTTTCAGACAGAAAGAAAAGCAGAACAAAAAAGTCATGACTGTACAAAAATCAAAAGGACAAAATACCTATAACAGATCAGACTCCGAACTTCTACTCCTGGACTTCTTTCCCCTTCCCAGAACCTGAAAACCATGCATAAAACAAGGATGAGCTACAACAGCTCAGCAAGACATCAAACCTCCAATCAAAATTCTCAGAGTCCACATCAAATACATCAGACAAAAATCCGTACAAAAATCAAAATACAGAACTGACAGAACAGAACATAATGAATCAAATCAGAACAGAACAGATAGAACAGAACAGATTAAATCTCAAATCTCAAATCAGAACTGAATCATATATCACATCAGAACAGATAGAATCGTACAAAAATCAGAGTCAGATCATAGCAGAACAGAACAGAATCATATCAAATCAGATCAAAATCAGAACAGAACAGAATCAGATCAAAATCGTATCAGAACATATCAATTCAGAATATATCAAATCAGAACGTATCAAAAGTCAGAACAGATCAAATCAGAACAGATTTCCTGACCCTGACAGAATCTCAACGGATTCTGGCCCCTTATGCCTCCCTTCCCAGACACTGACAGAATCTCTCGGATTCTGGCCCCTTATGCCTTCCTTTGTGCTCATGGAACCAGAACAGATGTGCTTATAGTACCATAACAGAACTTATCATCGGATCCGGAACTTGTATTCAGAAACAGATTTCAGAACTCATTTCAGATTTTCCCTAACACAGACAGGATCTCACAGGATCCTGACCCCTTATAACTCCCTCGTTATAGCACACAAGCATAGCATGTCATTTCAGAACAAATTCGGATAATTTCAGAAATCGTACGAAAATCTGGCAGCATAATGGCAGTATACGGAATTTACACAAAATTCACCAAATCAGAATTTCACCAAATTACCACAGAACATTCACAACAATATTATAAGACTTTTATTCTACTGCCTAGACAAATTCAGAAATTATCAGAAATTACAGTCGAAAGAAAACATCGCCGAATCAAAATTACCCGGTTAAAATTCTCCAGAAAATAATCAAAATGTGCACACTCGGCACTTCAATAACATACCAAAAGTTACGCGGTAAAACTGAACCAATCGGAAAATACTGACGAAATTCGCTAATGGAAACAAAATCCGGACAGAAAATTCATTCAAACTTCACCGTTCAGAAAATTGAGAAAGGCAGAATGTGCCTTACCTTGCGTACAACACTTTCCTGAACTGTCTCGTCGGACGAAAACGGCCCGGCGTCGCCCAAAAATCCATTTTTCCAAAATTGCCCTCGACCTTCTCTCTCCTCAGCTGAATTTAGATATTTATTTTTTGATTTTCTCTCTCTTCAAAATGACTGATTTCAGCTAAATAATACTCAGATAGGCCTGGCCGATCGCACGATCGTCCTGGACGATCTGACCAATTTCACATCGTCCTGGGACGATTTCTTAGAACGATCCAGGATGATAATTAATTTTCAAAAACCCCTTGCTCTCTGTCTTGTGCCATGCTCTGATCGTCCTGGGACGGTACTAGATCGGCTTGGACGATCCATACAGGAAATTTTTCCTGTAACTTCTGTACATAATCTGGAACAAAACTTGAACTGATCGTCCCGGGACGATCTCGATCGGCCCGGACGATCCTGGAGCAGATCTGATGTTACAACTAGCTTGCTCCTAATATGTCTGCTTATTCAATGACTTAGGTTATAAGGAAAATTGGATTTAGGATAAGAGAAATTGCCACAATATGGCCACCTAAGCATAATCATAACACATTCTTTCTGGATGGAATCATATTTGCTTTGACTCAACTAATTATAGTGCCACACGAATATAATGAGGGTTGGTCAACTAAACCTCACCACTTAGTTATGCAGAAGAACTCAATTAAATTTGTTCATTATTATTTTACTAGACAATTTTAATCTAGCCCATATTACATAGCCTCAATTAAAATAGTAATGAGAACAATGAATACCTTTCTCACCTTCCCTTAGAGTGAGAACCTCTCTAGTTTCCATTTGGCTTTCGCTTGTATTTATTTTCAAACATATCTTGTAGGCTACTAGTAAGCTACTACATAAAATATTTATTGTACATATAAGTATACACAAATAACAAAATAATATATTGATGGAATAGCAAGACGTGAATGCGCTTCCGCCACATAACACCAAGCGCCTCCTCCCTCGCCTTCAAACCCCCACCGTCGTTCCATTCAAACCCTCGTCAAGAAATTGGGTTTTTTTTTTTTTTTTTTTAAACTGCCGCACTCGAAACAGACTCTTTCTTTCACTGCCCTCTCGACGTCCCTCACCGAATTCCCGACTTTAATGTCTGGGCGTCTCTTATCCTCTGCTGTGGTCAGGTTCCGGACGCTGAATCTGGCAAAAGATCTTCTAGTATTTTCTATTCGGAAGCAACGCGAGGAGATCTCTTAGTGAAGCCATCTTCTGCACATCTAGATCCACCGATCTGTTTTGCCCTAGTTTGGGGCTGCGGTGTTTGGCCTCCTAAGCCGATGGCCCCAAACCGTCGGAAGGGATCTGCCAGAGCGGCAGCCGCCGCCGCCGCCGTTCAGCAGCAGTGGAATATCGGAGATCTTGTTCTTGCGAAGATGAAGGGATTTCCGGCGTGGCCGGCTATGGTACGTCTAGTAATCCTTACAGTAATTGGCTTACGCCAGCATGGTTCGCTAGGGTTTTGCTTTTCTTTTCTGGTTTTTTATTGGGTCTAGGCTCTTTTTTGGTTGATCAAGTGTTTGTTTAGTAAAAAGAAAGTTGCTTTGCGCTTCATGATGTTCGGGGTTGTTATTTGAGGCAGTTTCTTGGTGTTCATCTCCTTTTGTCCTATTTTTTATCTTTTTAATTCTTAGGATGTCTTCTGCCCATTGCATGTTTGATGAAACCTGAGGGTTAACGTTGTTTTATTTCTTATTCGAGAGTTTCTTCTTTAAACTTTGTCAGATAAGTGAACCTGAGAAGTGGGGGTTCTCATCCGATCGTAAGAAGCTCCTCGTTTACTTCTACGGGACCAAGCAAATGTGAGTAGTATATTACATTAGCTATTTGTCTCTTTTGGAAGAAAGATTTATTCTCTTGTTCGTTATGAAAAACGTGAGATTGTTATTGTTTCTTCTGTCTAATTTTCTTACTATAAGCTTTAAGATGCAAGGTCATGAACTTGTATGCTTGCTTTTTTTTTTCCTTCTGTTTTAAGTAACCTTATTGCATGTGAAGTTTATCATTGCCCTCACTTAAAAGTATTCCATACGGCTGCTTTCTTTTCATTGTTGTGTATGTGGAGTATTTCTTCGACTTGCTTATATTCCTTCGCTATACTATGAAAGCATCAAATTTCTTGGCAAGGGCTCATAGTTGACGTGGAAGGTGGACGAATTATGCCCACTGAGCCCGCTTATCATTTTGGAAGTTCAGTTATGTAGTTGAAAGTTGATTTATGGCCACACAGACTCTTTACGGTTCATTGAGGTACTATGTTGTTGGTGTCTTGAATCAATTTATGCCAGACACTTCTTTGAACAGCAGAACTTGTCTATAAGCCTGACTAAAATGCATGCTGAAATTTTGAAAAGTGCTTCCTTCCATTTGCTGTTCTCTGCTCTACTATTCCCACTTTTCATGGTTTTCCTTGTTGGAGCATTAAATTCATGAATCAGCTGTATTTTTTATTAAACATCCAGATAGATTTTAATAGCTCTAGCCTCTAATTTGCGTAATGCGATACCTAATATATCTTTCCATACTTATCCTTTACTTCTTTAATTCTTATATTCTGTACATATGGGAATTTCCTCTACAACTATTCCTTCCATTGTTCTGCTTTCAAGCCAATGCTATTTAAAGTGTATCATTTTGATAGTACTCAAGTTATATTGCTTAGGTTTATTTTTTCTGTCAAAAATGTTCATTTTCTTTTTAGCAGTTGGCTATTGAGGATATACACTTCTAAATGTATCTCTACAGCTATATATAACCACAATTCATTTGTTTATTCATTGTTCTTTGTTTGTTTTCACTTATTTTTTTTGTCTAAAAATTTATGCAAACCCATAGACATTATTGATGACATGTTTGAAAACTTATGATATCATTGTAAATGATTGGATGTGTTCGCTTCATGCTTTGTATGCCCAATGCACACAGACTTTGAATATGGGAAACTTTCTTTTGGATATAAACTATTAAATGATATTTTATTATGAAGTATGTGCAATCAATTATGCTCATAAATTTTTGGAACATGAATTTGCTTATTTAAACTGATTCATCTTTAATTTTTTATCGGCTTGGCTTTATGAATGATCTCTGGTCATCATTTTCAATTTAAACAGTTTAAACTAGTATTGTGTCTCTTTTTGCCAACAACCTATTTCCAAAATTTTTGAAAATCTTATTTCCTGACATATCCCTTAGATGAAATAATATGTTTAGCTATTCTTAACTTAGAAATCCCCTTTAAAGAAATTGATTTTGGAGAGATGGCAAATGCAGCTTGCCTTATCTACCCTAGATAGGAGCCAAAACCTGTGTCTTAATTTTCAGCTTGACAACAAACCTTTATGGTTTAGGGTTTGAATGGAATTACAAGTTCATTGTATCACAATGCAATTCTTTTTGGAAAATGAAAGGAGGTTTTTCCCCTTTTTAAAAATAATTTTATTAGTGTTCAACTTGGATTATCAGTCAGCAGTCCTTTCAATTATTAGGAGAAAAGTTTCGTAGCAAACATCATTATGTTACATGATGCTCAAACTTAATTTTTCAGTCAAATAGCGATACACTTACTAAATCACTATAGATGTGTGTTTTTACCTGAATTGACAATGTCATGGAAACAACTAGGAGAAGAAGATTAAAGGTTTGATTTGTTCTTAGCTTGTATTTAATCTGTTCCATTTGATCGGAAAAGATGCAAAGGCATAAAGCTGTCATTCTTCTCTCAACTTGATATTTAAGGCAAATTTGCATATGCTAGAGTGCATCCGAAGGTATATAGCATTCAGAATTTAAGATATTTTTGGAAGTAAAGCCAATGTGAATTAGAAATTAACACTGAAGGGGATATTTATGAAAGCAAAGTATTTGCGGTCTTCACATGCATTTAGATTCTCGCATGCATAGGCATCATGAAAGCAGAGTATTGTAGAGGGAAGCTGTAAAGTGCTGCTAGCAAAAAAAAAAAAATATAAGAAGTTAAAACAAAATTCATTTTTATTAAATTTTTGGTTAAATTGTAGAGTTCTGTACAATATTTGAGCTTACTAGTTTCATACATATAGGAAGGTTTCCCTTGCCTCAGAATATACCAGTACCATCATCATTATTGATGGACCCTCATATTTCTCATGCATAGCTTATTGGCTTGGCCTAAAATTTATGTTGTTTTAAAGAGTAGGTCCAACACTTATCGTGTAACATACTTGTCCAAAACTTCTTTTGCCCTTGCCCGCCTATTTTTCTTTTGTTTCTTAATTGGTCCTTCCATCTTTTGACCCTCACTTAATCAGGTCATAAGTTGGAGTGGATAGACCCCGTTTTGTCTTTTTGTGTAATTGGACCTCAACCATGAATTAGGTTAGTGAATGGAAAGGTATGGCTCGCTAGCCCCTCTCTCTCTCTCTCTCTCTACTAAACCAAATTTTGACATAAGAGGTTGGGGGTTCTCATTTTTTCCTTCATTCACTATCTTTCTCTCCCTCTCTGACACCGAATTGCAAAGCTTACAAGATTACTCCTATGTAATGATTTAAAGAAGGAATTTAGTACAACCAACAACAACAACAACAACATCAAGCCTTTATCCCACTACGTGGGGTTGGCTACATGAATCCTTTTTCTCCATTGTGTCCTATTAAAAGTCAAATTCTCGTTTAAATCTAATAAAGAAAGGTCATTCCTAATATTTTCTAACCAAGTCTTTTTAGGTCTACCCCTACCTTTCTTAACATAAGTCAAATCTAATACCTCTACTCTCCTAACCGGGTCATCGCAAGGTTGCCATTTTATGTGACCAAACCATCTAAGGCGACTTTCTCTAATCTTATCTTCTACTGGAGCTACTCCAACCTTTTCACGTATAAGCTCATTTCGTATCCTATCTCTAAGGGTAAAGCCACTCATCCACCTAGAGCATCCTCATCTCTGCCACACTTAACTTAGTATTATGCTTCTCTTTTAAAGGCCAACATTCGGCACCATAAAGCATTGCAGGCCTCACTACCATCTTATAGAATTTTCCCTTAAGTTTGAGAGGTACATTTCTATCACATAACAAGCCCGATGCATTCCTCCACTTCAACCATCCAACTTGAATTCTGCTGATAATATCCCCATCTATTTCACCATCACTCTGAACAATAGATCCAAGATATCTAAAACGTGTACTCTTATTAATGACTTGATCGCCCAAAGTCATAATCCCCTCACTAGGTCTATTACTACTAAAATTACACTCCATATATTCCGTTTAGATCTACTCAAGCGAAAACCTTTAGTCTCTAAGGTTGACCTCCATAATTCAAGTTTACCTTCAACTCCCTCCCTAGTCTTATCAACAAGAAGAATATCATCAGCAAAAAGCATACACCAAGGTACATCCTCTTGCAAATGTCTAGTGAGAACATCCATTACTAAAGCAAAAAGATATGGGCTTAAGTCTGATCCTTGATGTAACCCAACCGAAATAGGGAAATACTTGGTCAATCCACCTTGTGTTTGAACACAAGTAATAGCTCCTGCATACATATCTTTAATGATTTGAATATAAGCATTATTGACTCCTTTCTTTTCAAGAACTCTCCATAGCACTTCTCTTGGAACTTTATCATATACTTTTTCTAAATCAATAAATATCATATGTAGATCCTCCTTATTTTCTCTATATTTCTCCATCAAACCTCTTAATAAATGTATGGCTTCCATAGTCGACCTACCCGGAATGAATCCAAATTGATTTTGAGAAACATTAGTATCATGCCGCAACCTATGCTCCATAACTCGCTCCCATAGTTTTAAAGTATGACACATTAACTTAATACCTCTATAATTCGCACAATCTTGTGCATCACCTTTATTCTTAAAAATAGGAATTAACACACTCGTTCTCCACTCATCTGGCATCTTCTTAGTCTTCAAAATAGTATTAAAAAGTTTAGTAAGCCATGAAATTCCTTCATCTCCTAAGCATTTCCACACCTCTATTGGAATATCATCAGGTTCAACAGCTTTTCCACCCTTCATTTTCTTTAAAGCCTCTCTAACTTTAATTTTACTAATACGCCGATAAAAACATAAATCTTTATTTTCATCTAGGGTGCTAAGGTCATTATAGTCAATCTTATTTTCACAATCTTCATTAAAAAGTTTAGCAAAATATCTCATCCATCTTTGTTGAATATCATCTTCTAAGAAAAGTATTTTTTGATCTTCATCTTTAATACACTTATGGTGATAACAATATACAAAAAGTCCAAATCCCCATAAAACCAATAAAAACAAAGTTCTGGTTTCTCGAACGTCTCCAAGTTCAGCTTTCAAGTTTTCTCTAATGAACTCCTTTCTATGTTTACTAAAATTTCCCCTAATACCAAGCTACCAGTGGCCTAATTCCTCTACGTGCCAGCTCTTGACAGAGTTGTCCAGCTTAACATATGGTTGGCTGCCTTTAGACCAATTGAGAAAAATGGGACCAAGAGTTAATTGATCATTCCCAGCCAGCCTGCAGAGAAGCTAGTTTTTTTAGAAGATTTGCTTGAATCAATAAGTTAATATTATCGCTTCCACAAGTCAATGGTCAATGTCCTGTACTCAAGAAGCGTTGATAACCAGCAACCTTGTAAAACAATCTTGGAACAAAATGCACTTCCCTATCAAAAGTAATGATTTAAAGAATTCTTTGTAAATGAGCAATCTCTCTAAAATATAAATCATCAGTATAGGAAATATTCATTAATTTTATGACATGAAATAAATGAGCCATATTAGAAAAGCGATCCACCGCTATCATAATAGAGTATTTGTG